CCAGGAGTGACAGTGAAGTACGGTGCTCCTGGACTTGAGGGAGTGAATGAGGTGTGACTGCCCTTCTATTGGTATTCTTTGGAACTCACCACTGTATTTGAAGTGAGTAAGATGCTCTAGGTTACTGTAATTTCATATTTTCGATCATGTCCTTGAATCTTCTCGAACGTTCGGCGTGGCGAATTAGCGCGATACATCCGGCATTGTACAGCTGGTGGTCGTCTTCAGTGAACGTGAGACGGATGTGTGTGAATAATTTAGGATCGTGTGCTTGGATATAGGTTTCCGGGGAGCAGAGAGCAACCAGTTATCATAATGCTCTCCAAGTCCCTTTTATTGTTATGATCGAAGTTCGTTGTGCATCATCGAACGGCATCGTTCAGCACGTCGCCAAATTGTACACGCGTTGAAAAGTCTGCGGAATATAAGAATTGACGCATTTTCAGCGATTAAGAACCGAATTGTAGAGAGACGGCTTTGCGTGCGAGGCACTCATAATCCCGCTGATCGATGGAAACGAGGTGCTTCGTGATAAATCTCTTCGATTTTGGTGATCTGATTGATGGTGGAAAAGCTGAATTTCATTTCGACTCCCACACGTAGTTGTTTTTCTCCAGGCAGTGATCGCCGTCATTATTCCAAATGCTGCAGTATCAAACATCTTCCAAAGACGTCCGGCAAGTCGGCAACGACTGTCTTGTAAAGTCATCTTCAATATGCAGAGCTTTTGGGAAAAGCTCGAATCTTCGGTACAAGCTCTAGGAGTCGAACGACAAGCTAAGCGTTAAAGATGTTCTGCAAATATCAGTGAAATCCAGTACTTGATTATGAAGGGGGCAAAGAATAAGCGTTCGACTGACGGAATCACTCAGAGAATCCTATTCGTAGGCCGTACTGATGACATTCAAGAAAATGTATTTTCTGCTGAACTGTGCGAATATAAGGAGTGGCAAGTGAGAATAACCGAGTACAATATCCAACAACTAGTCCGTTGAGAAGCTAATCATAAACCCGTTTTCATCTCTCCCTAAAACCTGAATTTTTTCGAGCCAAGTAGGACCCGTCATCCAGTGTTTCAAATTTTGTGACTGTGCAAAATTCTGAAAGTTATGAAGTTATGACAATTTAAGCCTTCAAATGTCTTCCGAGCTTAGATTTCTTTCTACTGAGCTGTGAATTAACGTCTTCGGAAGTTCTGCGCGTAGACGATTGCGAAGCTTGACGACAGCGGATCAGAACGGGAAACCGTGAATATCTATTCCGCTGCTTGATTTGTACGCCGTGTGAATTTTCGCAGCTCGATTTTCATCTTCTACTGCGTTCAAGTTTTGTCTCTGGTCTTTCGCATTTTCGACAGAAAGAAATTCAGTTATTCGGTCGTGGTCGACAACGCGTTTGGTTTGTGATGCTGACAGCAGAGAACGTGTGCGTAAACTGCACTGCAGCACATTGTTAAGCATATAAGTTAGTTCAACCAGGATTCGCAGGAAACCGAAAAGAAAGCTGTTAGTGTTTCACTCAATTGAAATTTCTTCTGTTCTGGGTATACTGTAATTCGGCGCCGTGAACTATGTTGTAGAGGTAACAGATACGCCTTCGTTACCTGGCGAGTAACTGACAATCCCAGAGAAAGTCTGGATGATGGGATTATCTCGCGAAGGTTTAGTTTGAAACAGTTACTGTGAGGTCCATTTTCTCAGGGTTTGTGAGAAAGGTGCTTCAAACAAAATTCCGCCCGTAGCTTAAGAAAATCCGAATAGATTCATGAATGGTGACGCCGAAAACGTCGCACGGACAAAACGGCTTAGTAAGGGTTAATCCGCCGGGGAATTTTGGCCCCCAGTTTTTCTTATGTTTCTGCTGGGCTTTCCCTGAAGGGAAATATTTGAACATTGAGGAAAAGTTTCAGTTCATCCTGGCCCACTTTCTGGGATGGTACCCGATACGAGCCAGAAGGTTTATCATCAGCGTAATGTTTTACGGGTTCGTGTATTTTCACAAGAAAATTCNCCGATACGAGCCAGAAGGTTTATCATCAGCGTAATGTTTTACGGGTTCGTGTATTTTCACAAGAAAATTCTATTTTCTGAGAAAATTTAGAAGAGAAAAGTGGTCCTCGTGAAGTAATTATTCTTTCTCAATGTCTGGGAAATCACTGCCAATGAACAAATAATCGAACCAGGATTAGCACCGTTTACCGACTTACCCACTTGTACTCACTTTTTGTGAGTACAAGTGGGTAAGTCCCCAACGAAAAGGGGTACCGGGACCCGCAAGAAAAAGTCCCCCCAGGGCTGTACTTAAATGTTGAACTTGATCCATATCTTACTTCCTACTTGATGCATTTTTTCTGCTCTCTTTGAACTATATTTTCCTTGCCTTTTCTGCTGAAATTCTCACCATAATGATTTCAATGATTCAGCCAGAAACTTTTCGATGTAATTTGAGGCGGAAATCTTCAAATCCTTCGCAGCATTGGATCGTAAACGAATACATTTCTGTACAGTATTTCAAAAGCCGAACTTCAATCACTTTTCACTCAATTGAGTGGAGTTTTAATTGTGCCATGAATGCGAAAGTTACAAAGCTCGAAGGAAGATCTTCGTCAGATACTGCTCATTAAAATTTTCTCGTGGTTTCAAGTGGTGATTTATCTATTTTTCTTCTCAACTAAACCGGTTGAAAATACTGGAGGATTTTAAGAATATCTGCCCTTTCCAAAGTTTCGCCAAGGTTCAATTCTGGCGTCCCTCCTTTCTGTTTGCCGCAAGTGCAACCGATATTGCTTATGCTGAACCTAGCCAGATCTCCACTTCCTTGGAAGGGGGGCCAACTTTCAACAACGTGTTCATCCCTGTTTTGTGGAATCAATTTCAAGGGACGAATCCCGTTAGGGTTCCTGGGGTCGTAAAACAATCTCCTGGGGGGAGTTTCCCCGGAAACCAGCTGCGTGCAGCTTGTCATCCGATATGAAGCACTATTTGTCTGTTTCTGATGGGACACTTTTATGGACTTTGCTTCTTCACTTTTAGGGTGTTTTTCTTCTGGATGCACCGATTGATGTCGAAAAGGTTCCCGCCTACGCGGCGTTCCTTTGAGCTTCACATGTAGGGTCGAACGTCTTTTGAGTCAAGTTTCAAGGAACCAGCAAGAAAATTCGAGTTATCAGGTTCCCAGTTGGGGAAACTAGCATTTCTGGTAGAGGAAGGCAATAAATAATTACAGGATATTTTAATGCTTTGGTGATATTCTGGGCTTTGAATTGCTTTTCAAGTCGGTTAAAGGAAGCTCAACTTGGAGATAACGGTTCATTCACGTGGTTAATCTTTCGTTTCCTTTCAAAACGCATGAAGTTACATTTTTATTCTTTTTCTCTTTCCTGGTTCAAGATAATATTACCAGAAAGTCCCCCCCCCCCCTAGAAAATGTGAGTTGTGGAGGTTTCAGAGGTAAAGTCTTGGAGTAAGGCAAGTTTTTACGCATTTTTCCTAAGGGAATTCAGGCAAGGACTTCAGAAAATCGACGTGAGCGGTATTTGATTTAGATGAGAGGCTCTAGTGATTGAGGTTCAATGATTCTGCAATTCAAGACTTAAGACTCATATTTTACAGCGCGTTTCGATTCCGAGGAAGAGTTGTCTTGTTCTTGGAGAAAAATTATGAGTGCCCGGCAATTTTAGGGAAATCACCTGTTGAGCAAGTACACCGATGAATATTTTTTGGCAGGAATGCTGATTATTTGGCAAGTACTGTAGTACATGTTTTAAAAACAGGATTGATTCAGAATGCACGTCGAATTTCCAAGTTATCGCCCCCCCCCCGACATTCGGATTAAGCATAATTGGAAAAACGTAGTAATATTTTATTTTGCACCAAAAGAAGAAAAACTATTCAACTGGGAACAGAAATCAGTAATATGGTGCTTATTTTCCTCCCGGTTTCACTTAAAAGAAGTATCCCAAAATCCACCGAGAACTGACTGAAACAGACAGTTATTCACTTGCCAATCGGTTTATTGCTGTTATTCGGCAGCTGCAGGACTGTAAATTCCGAAGGATGGTAATGCTGTAGCCTGTCGCTAATTACTTCGAAGGAACCCGTCTGCTCCCCCCTACGAGGGTGTTGACGAATTTGTGGACATTCGCAGTTAAGAATCCTGTTCGAACTTGCGGGAGTAATTTATGACGACGGGAACGAAAACAAGCGAGATTCCCCCCATCTAAAGCGAGAAAATTCTATATTTTTTCTTCTTTTTTATTTTGCTGTTGAAGACTATACAGGTATATGAAGCATGATGCAAATCCTGAGCGAGGAAATTCCACTCATTCTCCTGGATTTTTAGAAATCGAGGCCTTGGGTGACTGGGCATTCGATGAAGTCAAAGCCGAGTCCTTCTTTGCACGAGTGTTCAATGCAAATTTCGAGTGTTCAATGCAAATTTCGATGTGTTTGTTACTATTGTGAGTTTCGGAAGTTCCTGACGTTTTGGGATTCCTCAAATTATTTTCCTGCTGATTTCTCGGTGCATTTGCGAATATGATAATTTGAACGATTGATTCGTCCATTCTTTCGTCTGAAATGAAATTTTTTCTGACGAGTTTAATATTTCTTCAGGAAATCGGTTGTGGGCGATGAAAAAATGGAGTTGAACCTCGGCAACTCAAACCCTGCCGGATTTACCTCGAAAACAATGATTCGAGAACCTTCCGAATGCGGAAATGGATTTCTTACTATTCTTAGCATTCCATCCCTCGCATTTTCAACAAAATTTCCATATGGCAATTAACTCTTCATCTTCCATCGTAATTTTTTCTCTCTCTTACAGGACGATGAAAAATTGGATTTGAACATCGGTAACTCGAACCCAAGTCTGATTTACCTCGAAAACGATGCTTTGAGAACCTCCCGAACCCGAAGACGGAAATGGATTTCTGAGAATTCCATCCCTCGCATTTTTAACAAAATTTCCCTATTGCAATTAACTCTACATGTTCAATTGCGATTTTTTTTTCTTTCTTTTACAGGAATTGGTTTATTGAAAAAAAAAAGCGTCGATTCTCTGATCAGAAGTGATACGAAAGCGGCGTGAATATACCATCACCGAACATGCCTCCAGTGAGACAAGCGATCAGCAGCAGCACCCTGCGGAGGTCTTCTTCGCAATTAACTCGAACGAGTCCCAGATTTGCGAATAACGTGATTCCTGGCGCAAGTGACGCTGCTCCGATCGTCGGGTCATCAAGTTTCGTCATAATCTCCGCAGAAACAACCACCACCAGCTCCACCGTCAGCAGTCCCCCAGCAGCAGCAGTTCATCCTCGTGTTGAGCAACCTTCGACGATACGAAGCGCTGATGTCATCAATAATAACACACCCAGCAATAATGAATCGACGAACGAAGCCAGCCCAAACGAAGCTGTTTCGAATGTTCTTGCTGTAGCGATCGCTGTAGCCAAAGCCGACGCCGCTCTGCGCAACGAAAGCCAAAAAATCGTATCAAAGGTCTTTGAGGAAGCTCTCAAAACATTCGTCGACTCCCTGAGCTACTTCGTACTCTTGAAAACCGACGCCTTTGATGCATCAGAAACACAACAGCTCAAAAAGCTAACGAACGAGTTGAACTCCATCGTTTTCCACTCACCCGAGCAACTGGTTCTAAAATGGAAGACGTTGAGACCATCGCAGGAAAGCGTCCTCGGGGTTTCATTCCCAACCCCGGGTGGTTTGAAAAAGACTGCTGGCGGGGTCTTATTTAGGAACGCCTTCGACTATGACGACAAGGACGTGTACGACTCGGAGATTGACATGTACGGAATGGGGAAGCCTCTGGAGAAATCCCATCTCGAATTTATCGAAACTTGTCGAGAAACGTTGAAGACTTGCCCTGTGTTTCAAAAGTTCGTCGTTGATCCGTCGTACGCTGAACGATACTTCGAAGGCATTTGGACTTACTTTCGGCCGATTCACGAGGCCCCCAAGGACCAACTCACTCCTCGAGAACGAATCACCCTCTTTTTCATGCACTTGAAACACGTGACGAACTCTGACCAATATGCTGGTGTGCCTTACAAAGACTGTCACTCTGAGGAGCACTACCTGGACATGATTAGCTTCATGTTCAAGCGCTACGGGAACATCACGAAGCATCGAGAGCAGATTTTCACGGACTTGGAGAACCTCCCGCCTCCCGACGGCAGTTTGGAAGAAGCTCGAGATTACATCGCTCAGGTATAGTCTTTACTCTTTGCTACCGTTTGATGATGAATTTGAGAAGTGAAAAGTTGACATCGCTCTCAGGTATTCTTACTCGTGCAACGGTTGACGAATTTGAAAAGTGACACGGACGCGGTGCATCATCGCATTTGGCCGGTTGTGAAATCGAGCCTCCTCGAGGGCACCGGGAACATTTTTCACGATACCCTGCAATTCACTTTTCCTCGCGTGACGTGTGCGGAACGCGCGAGTTGGAGCGAGAATCTCGAGAGGATGTATCTATGGATCCTGGGTGTCTTGACGGAAAAGGCGTCGACTGACGGGAAAACGACGTATTTGCAGAAACTTCGAGGTGTTGAGAAGGTGCAAATAATAAGGCGATCGCCGAGTCCTATTCATCCATCATCGGATGATGATGACGGTGGTCATGAGGTACCTCGGAAGCGGAAAGCAAGTTTCAGCTCGGGATCACCCAGTTGTTGTGTCTCGGATGGGTATGTTGTGACGAGGCCGAGCATCCTGAAACCTTGTCCCTTTTGCAATGGCCGCCACTACGCGACGCAATGTCAGCTGAGCACTGATGAAAGGATCCATGTTATCAACACGGCAGGCCTTTGTTACAACTGCTTGGGCAACAATCATTGCATTGATAATTGTCATAGCAGAATTAATTGCAGAAAGTGTGGGGATAGGCATCATACTGCTTTGTGTCGGAATTGAAGCACAGTTACACTTATGGATGTGTCCAGAAAATTAGACTCCCGTTTTATTTTATTGCTACTTGAATACATAATAATCGTAAAAAATTCGTCTTGAAATTTTGTCAATCCCACTTACCGAGATGGGAGAGAAAACTAAAAATAAGATGAAAAAGGATTTTTTGCAGTCTGCCATACGTTTATTGTTTTGATTGAATGATAGTACAGTACTTTACTGTATGTACTCAAGTTCCATGCACCCAAAAGTAAGATTTTTCCTGGGATTTTCAATCTAAAATTCTCAAAGAATTGTATTGCCCATATAGAAGGATCTAAGCACCCCATTGTTAGTGACTCTGAAATGTCTTCACCGTATTTCAAGAATATAAATACACAATTATCATTATTATTATTATTATTATTTTTCCCTGGGATTTTCAATCTAAAATTCTCAAAGAATTGTATTGCCCATATAGAAGGATCTAAGCACCCCATTGTTAGTGACTCTGAAATGCCTTTACCGTATTTCAAGAATATAAATACACAATTATCAAGTTTTTTGATTGGAATAGTTTTTTTTTTAAAATAAATTGGTCCAGAATTTCCTATTGGAATCAAGTATAATTTACATCTGAACTTCTGAAGCTATTTAAAAATTTTATGCCCACTTATAATGAGCTTAACCTTTTTTTCTGGATTTTTATTTTTTTTATTCATGGTACTTTTACATACAGTATTTGGTAATGCGCAAAATTTTGGAATCTTGTCAACCTTGTTTACTGATGTCTTAGGATATAAGTGGAACTAGAAATGAAAATAATTAGCTTTGTTCGCAGTTTGACTTACGGATATATCATCTGATGGCTTGGCAACGTCTATATTTGAACCATATAATAGCACCGTATCCAAACGTTCCTGAAATGAAATCTTGTTTTGAAATTTATTGAAACCTTTCAAATTGAGGATTATTATTCACCAGGATAGTGTAACTAATGAGATTGTTGGTTTTCTTGATGACTTTCTTTTATTACCTGGGATAAAACAATTCAGAATATTTCTTCAATAATTTTATCTTTGAAAAAAAAAAATCAGGAAATTTAGGTTAGTCATTTGTTTAATTTTATTTTACTTTATTTGCTTCTGTTCCTTTATTAATTTGTTCATTAACGATAAGTATTGATTTGTTTTTTCTGGTCCAACGATTCTAACTTCGAAAATTTAAATTGGAATTCCTGGATGGGTTAAGTTCGTAGTTTTTTTTACAGTTTCTAGAGACTGACGAATAACCTCTTGGAAATATATTTTTTCCTTTGAAAAGTGTGTGAGGCAAATTACCATGAATGATACCATGTTCAAATCAATTTAAGTAGTGCCTCATGATTGTGCAAAGCTGAGAAAATGGTAGAAATGGGACTTCCTTTTTTATGGGAAAACATTTCGCAGAGAAATTTCGTCGAAGGAAACGGAAGAACTTTTTGTACAGGGTCAAGTTGGAATCTAAAAAAATTCAAAAAAGAAAATTTCGAGAATTTGAATGTATATTTTGGGTCAATCGACGAGTTTCCTGAGGAAAGTGTGCCGAAAAAACAAGAATCCTGGGACCAGATACCGCATCAAGGATGTATGCCTCCTGCTGATACTACTCATTCGTCTAGGAAAATCTGAAGGACTTTTCTGAAGCTTTGATGGTCAATCAAGACCAGCTACAAGGTGCAGTTCATCAAATGCCACAGGTTCGTAAAAGTGTAAACTCGTCCTGTGAACTGAAATATTTTAGATTTTTTGCATGAACCTGTTTCAGCTGAAGCTGAACATGCACATCATGGGAAATTGGAGAAGATCATTATTCCACGCTTTGACAGAAGAATCTTCAGAGTCTATAGTGAATAAGGAAGAATGTGCGCGTCTCATTATAGATCCGAAAACAGATGAATTTTTCTTGAATTGGTGCGAAATATCGTCAACGGTGGAGGAAGTGTTGGTAATGATCTTCTTCGTTCATGAATAGGGCTCATGCTGTAGGAGGATTTTTTCATGGTTTTTACTTGGGGAATTGTAAAATGTCGAATTGCGTTTGGAAAACTTGCGAATTAAGAATGTTTCTTAGAAATATGTCTTCGGATAACTGAGGCATACTCAGGGGGAAACTGGCCGTGAATACTGATTTTTTCTCGAATAGGTGCGACGTCAGTGCGTGGTGGCATATATGCGTTTGGTATGTGTTTTTTTTTTTTTACGTGGAAAATCGTAAAAAATCAAATCGTGTTTGCAAATTTTGCGAAAGAAGACGTCGGGTATTCAAGTGCAAACAAAACGGACGAATTCGTCCCTTGTTTTGTAGAGGCAATTCGAGCCCAGTCTTGTCGTTCGAGGTGCGAATCGATTTTTTGTTCGAATAATGAGAAGTATTTCTTGTTTTTCTGTCTCTTCTGCGTTGAATGAACTACAGTAATTTTTGCAAACTGGGAATGAACTTGTTCTTCATCAGAACTCCGCGGCTGTATGCTTTGAATCAAAGTTGCCGTAGTCTTGACATTTTTTCTGTATACAATGTATGGTTATATATACAGTTGAACCTATCTAAGTTGAATTTCATGGGACCTGCAAAGAAATTTAGCATAGGGTGGATTTGAATTTCATAGGTTTGAACTACAATACAAAGCCCTTTCTTCCTGAGAACTTGGAAAAAATGCAAATGGTGATGTTCTGGAGCTTAATGGCTTCTCAAATGTGTGTTGAAAGGGTTTAATGTATTGTTTCTACAGGGATTCAGATCAGGATCTGAACAAAATTTGAAGTGGGGTTTTTGAGTTATGGAGGTTTTAGTTATCCAGGTTCACCTGTATGAGCTCATCATTTTCAATCCAGTCTGCTTTGATGAATTAATTGTGCAAAGGATAGAGGAGTATAAACTTAATTCACACCTTACGGTCTGTATGACAAGACTCCCCCTACCGTTTCTTCCCAGTGGTCCGTTTGGGAACCTGAAAAGGTCGACAACTTGGAGAAGTTGTAGGACAGGAACTATTTTTTCCGAAACGTTGAATTGATTCTGCTGGCCAGAGAAAGATGCAATAAAAAGATATGTTCATGGAAAGAGGACGGTGGGCAAAGACAACTCTGGAAGTAAGAGAAGGGTGCACAGCAAAATGTGACCTGCTTCTTCATTTCATCTGTTTTTTAAGGTTTTCTGTTTTCAGCCTTACATGCAACTCCTAGATGTGTGCAGGAGGGTTGGAGAGTTCATTCAGGAGATGAATTCCTTGTTCCCTTCCATCACTGTCACTGTTGATAAGGTTATAATGAACATTTCTCAGCAATCCTCAAGCTATTTTTCCAAAGCAATTTTTCATCTGTTAATTTGGTTCTGCCAGTGTATCATGCTACTCAGCATCATGCACCCTTGAATAAGATGCACCACCCCAAGGGGATACAAGTCCCCCCCCCCTTGGGGAAAGGGCACAGATCATGGGGTTGAAATACAGTAAAATCTCAATACAAAAAACTCTGGGGGACCAGAGTAAAAAATTGTTATAACAAAAAATTTGTTGTAATGAGATTACTTTGTTTTGTTACAGAAAAAACACTTCACCCTCTTTAACCCATGGGCGGCGAAGTTGGACATTTTCTGCAAAATTTGGTGTCAGTGAGCGAAGCTTTTAAAAAAAATCATAACAGTGCATCCAGGACAAAGTCAGCAAAAATCCTGGCGTATTTTTTAAATACTGCAGAAATTTTTTGCCCAAAAATGAAAAAAGCCATCTCCAAGGCTGAGCTTTTTTCATCTCATCCCTGGATTAGTTATATTATTTTCAGCTTCTTGGCCCTTTCATTTTGGTCACCAGAAGAAGGGTTCCCATTTAGAGGCCACAAAAGAGTTGCGGAAAAAGTCCGACTTCGGGAAATCACAGCAACACATTTTTGCCTGATAAAGTCCAACTTTGCCCTAGGCCACCTGGCTGGGCTTTCATGGCCTTCAACAAAATTTAAACCTGGGCCCACCCGAGAAAATCCGTACTTCCTCCTGCAATGGGAAAGAGCCTGTTGCCGCAGAAGGGTTAAAAGCATTTTATTGCTTGAAATAATCAGTGATTTTACTCTGTACACTTCTCCTCACCACACACTTCACTAATAATTAAGTGTGGAATGCCAGACATACTGTTCTGAGGGGGATGGCAAAGAAGGGTCACCAGGCAAACCCTTGGACTTTTCCAGCTGTTGAACCTCTTCAACATCCTGTCCTTGATAAAAAAGGCTTTGATTGAATTGATTCTGCTGGCCAGAGAAAGATGCAATAAAAAGATATGTTCATGGAAAGAGGACAGTGGGCAAAAACAACTCTGGAAGTAAGAGAAGGGTAAGAGCAGGTCAAAATGTGACCTGCTTCTTCATTTCATCTGTTTTTTAAGGTTTTCTTTTTTCAGCCTTACATGCAACTCCTAGATGTGTGCAGGAGGGTTGAAGAGTTCATTCAGGAGATGAATTCCTTGTTCCCTTCCATCACTGTCACTGTTGATAAGGTTATAATGAACATTTCTCAGCAATCCTCAAGCTATTTTTCCAAAGAAATTTTTCATCTGTTAATTTGGTTCTGCCAATGTATCATGCTACTCAGTACCATGCACCCTTGAATAAGATGCACCACCCCAAGGGGATACAAGTCCCCCCCCCCCCTTGGGGAAAGGGCACAGATCATGGGGTTGAAATACAGTAAAATCTCATTACAAAAAACTCTGGGGGACCAGAGAAAAAAATTGTTATAACAAAAAATTTGTTGTAATGAGATTACTTGGTTTTGTTACAGAAAAAACACTTCACCCTCTTTAACCCATGGGCGGCGAAGTTGGACTTTTTCTGCAAAATTTGGTGTCAGTGAGAGAAGCTTTTAAAAAAAATCATAACAGTGCATCCAGGAGGAAGTCAGGAAAAATCCTGGCATATTTTTTAAATACTGCAGAAATTGTTTCCCCAAAAATGAAGAAAGCCATCTCCAAGGCTGAGCTTTTTTCATCTCATCCCTGGATTAGTTATATTATTTTCAGCTTCTTTGCCCTTTCATTTTGGTCACCAGAAGAAGGGTTCCCATTTAGAGGCCACAAAAGATTAGCGCAAAAAGTCCGACTTGGGGAAATCACAGTAACACATTTTTGCCTGATAAAGTCCAACTTTGCCCTAGGCCACCTGGCTGGGCTTTCATGGCCTTCAACAAAATTTAAACCTGGGCCCACCCAAGAAAATCCGTACTTCCTCCTGCAATGGGAAAGAGCCTGTTGCCGCAGAAGGGTTAAAAGCATTTTATTGCTTGAAATAATCAGTGATTTTACTCTGTACACTTCTCCTCACCACACACTTCACTAAGACATCTTCCACTTGCTTCAGCAGCTTGAAAACATGCTCATTTCCCTCTTCCAAAGATAATAAGTAATTTTTCACTTCTTGTAATCCTTTGAAGGCTTGTGCAGAAGTTGTTTTCTCTTCTGTAATTGACACTTCATCATCACTTTCAGCATTTGAGCTGTCTTCCTCATGCTGACACTGAGGTGAAACACTTTGTAAAATCTCTTCAGAAACTTCACAAA